TCTATATATATGTGTGTGTACTAAAAGCATCGCGCGCGCTTCGCGTGTGCTTAAGTTCTGATGGGTCGAGTGCTGACCGCACTGAGGCAACAAGCCGGTCATGAATAATGAGGTCAACTTTCTCTGCTTTCTCCTGCCCCTTCCTCACTCCTTCGCCTCCGCTCTCATCGACCGGTCGACGGTGATCTGTCGCCAAGATATGGGCCAGGAGAAATGCAGCGCTACAACGCCATGTTGCACTATGTTACGGGCTGCCATGATACACCATGCTACTCTATAAAGCGCAATGCCGCTACGCAGTACGCAATTCAATAGTATGATATACTCTACAGTGCGCATTGCATACCATGCCATGCTGTGCTGTGGAGTACTATGATAAATCTATTCGATGACACGCTAAGCCATCTCATGCTATGTTTCCTGCGAAGAGCGATGTTACCGCGTTTCGTATTCTGCACAGACACGGCATACCGTGCAACGAAATGCAATACAATGCTATGTCATGTTATGGACTGCTAGGCTAAAATCAACAGTGCGACGGTAAGAGCAACAGCGAGGGTGTGATATGTGCATGATGTCTGTTCTGTTGCGCAGAGCAGTGCTGCGCTGTTCGATTAATCTATGCGCACTGGAATGACAGATTTCGCCACGATGTGTAATGATATGCAATACCATGCTAGGCAATGCTACGTCGTGACGTGCAGTACTAGGCTCAGCTAGACACTGCTATGTAATGCAATGCTATGGCATGCTGATATACTGTGATGTGCACTGGCACGGTTAGCTCTGTCGTGCTATGCCGTGCCATGTCATGTCATGCAATGCTGAAATGCCACCATAGGCTAGGCGATTCTTCGCTATGCACCGGTATGTTTGGGAGGCCTCTTGGGGGCCGTTTGGGGTGCTCTTGGGACCTCATTTTTAGCATCTTTGGGGCTTCGTTGGGCCTCTAGGGGGCCTCTGGGGGGCCTCTTGGGCTCTGTTGGGGACCTCTTGGGGCCTCCTGGAGGCCTCTTGGGGCGCAAGGCTCGAATTGTCGGTTCGTATTCCCCATCTTGGGCCCCTCTTGGGGCCGTCTTTTTTTTGTTTTTGTTTTTGTTCTCTCGCTTTCGGAGAGTAGGCGGAATGTATGATGTCACTTGGATAGTAGCGCGCATGTCAGAACAAGTTGGCAAATCCAGGGCAGATCGCAGTCTGGCAAGCTTGTGCGTCAACGCCCATGGCAGCAACTCGTTTCCAGAAGATGGCAACGGCCTCCGCATAGACCGGGCCGTCGTACGGATCCGTCCACCCTTGGAGCGCTTCGGTGGAGTGGCTGTACGAGCTGTTGAAGCACTTGCCGCTGTGAGGGTCTCTGGGGCCGTCGCCACAAGAGCCCAATTTCTTTTTTGCCCCCGTGCCAGGGCGGACGTTGAGAAAATCGCGGGAGCTGCAGCGGCTCCCAAATGTTGCGTGGAACAAGCATACTGAGAGAGCCCACTCTTCAACCAGACCGACAAACACAAATCCTGTCCGAAGCCTTTCGATTGCAACTCGTACCCTGCTTGCGTCGGCTGGGTCTCGACAGCCGCACGAATGACCAGCCAACATGTTTGCGTAACACCCAGCTACACGTTGGCCATATTCAGATGCGTTTCCCTTGAAACCTTTTTGCAATCATGTCGCCCATACTTATACGAAGACAAAACGCGTTGCTTTGGCTGGCGAAACATGGTCACACAATTTCCGCGATGCAGGTTCCAGTTACGGCAACCACGGACAGTTTTCGTAGGTTCCTCTGTCAAAGTTGGATCAGTTGGACCGCACGCAGCACACGCCTTCATTTCGAGTGAAATTTGGTGGTGGTTCTCGCACAGCGTAAACCCCGGATGACACGACGAATGGAATTTAGATGCTAGTGCTCCAAATTCTTTTTGTCCTCCCCCACCCACGTCCGACACATATTCATTTGAAGGCACGGTTGGGCAACCAGCTGTCAAGAATACGTTCATGATGGATGTCCCGGTTTTGGGGAAATGCACCCACGCCGTCTTACTTATATCTGCATAGCTGTGAGACAAATCTGTGCGGTTCCCAACCAGAGGAAAGCGGCCGAGAACACTCGCGGTGCTGGTTGATGAATGATTCGGCAATGCAGGCGCCTCCGTTTGATGAGATATCGAACGTTCATCGGCATGCAAACTCTTTTCTTTAAGCCACTTAGAGGGAAAGCTGTTGGGCACACTTGACTTGCTGACCGTTCCTTGAGCTGACAACGCGGGTGCCAAAGGCATCAATTGCAGAGATACCATCGGAAATGGAAACAAGATGGTACTGGATATGCCGGCGAAAAGGACTGATACTCCACACACCAATGGAACAAAGCACAATTGAAAGACATAACAACTGGCCATGTGCCTGCCAAACACAGGTGGCATGCTGCGGCGAATGATATACTTGGCGCCAGTGGTTTACGCCGAAGTAGCTATTACTGGAACGATGGACAAACACTTGAGCCACCTGTGGTTTGAGCCTACCTGGCTTGAGCCAACGTTGCTTGAACCAACGTGGCTTGAGCCAAAATGGCTACGGACCCCTCTTGGGGCCGTCTTGGGGCCCTCTTGGGCGATCTTGGGCACCTCGTGGGCCGGCTTGGGGCGCTCTGGGGCCGTCTTGGGGCTCTCTTGCGCCGTCGTGGCGCCCTCTTTGGGTTCCTCTTGGGCCGTGTTGAGCTGATTTCTGGGGCCTCGTGGGCTGTCTTTTTTTTTTTGAGGACCATGGGCGCTCAAGGGGCTCCAGGTGTCCCATGCGGCACCACATGCAGACGACAAGCGACCACAGGCCCGTGGTAACCGTCCAAGGTGGAACAGTCACCCACAGCAGCAGGAACAGGGAGCAATGAGCACACTGCCTCGAGCGACCCGCAACTGAGGAGGGCCCCCACCCAATCCAACAGTTCAACGCGAACGGCAGGCAGGCGCCACACCTCGCGTCAGGAAAGCAGCTAGGCACGCCTGGAAAAGTCGCGACCAAGCTTGGCCCAGACTCTGCGCGTAGCGGCATGCCGACGGGCAAACACACGAAGACGGGCTTCAAAGTGTTGCTCAGGAGTTCCAGGGAGACGAATGCGGAAATAATGATGAGTACTTATGAAGGCACCACAGAGCATAGCAGACAAAAGACAGCGGTCAGGTCCCATTCTCGGAAAAAGGAGGTACGAGTAGAGCCAGGGCAAGCCCTCAGAGGGGCTCGGAGTCCAAATGCCCATCCAACGAGAAAAGAGAGAACGAAGGGGTTCGCAACGACAATAGTGTTTGAGGTCGTCCAGATCATCCGTGCAAGAGGAACATCCCATGAAGCATCCCCGAGGAGCCGTATGAAAACGAGATGAGGTACAGAGGGAGCGGGACAGAAGCCGAAGAACCGCAAGAGGAAAATACATGTTGGTACGGGTCGCTAACGAACGAAGCTTCGGTACCAATCGCACCACCTCCAGTCTAGGGACTCCAGGAAGCCAGGCACAGAGACGTCGATAAAGAAGTTCGAGAGGAAGAGAGCGGGGACGGTAGATCAGGGCGAGCTTCTGTACGTATTGCTTCTGAACATCAGGCCGATCATACTTAATCACAAACTTCTGAGCGAGGATCCAGTCCTGATATGTGTAGAGGGAAGTGAAGAACGAGTTCGGGACACGGCCAAGAATTCGCCGAGCAGGGCACCAGTCATCATCCGTAAAAATATTGGTAAACTCGCTCCTGAGACGGCCGAGCTCGTTGCAGCGGGCAATATATCTCGCGCGAGTGGCTGCCGCAATCTGCTCAAGATGAGGGAATTCAAGAGGGAGGCCAAACTGCTTCAAAGGGATACAAATGTCATAGGAAATAGCGTTGTTAGGTCCCGCAGTCAACAAACGAACACATGAGCGGTATGTGTCACATAACGATTTGGAGGGAGGGAAGAGCTGGGCAACAAAATACACCAACGATACACAGAAGGTTTGAAATAGAACAATAGATTGGGCCAAGCCAAGGCCAAGATCACGAATCTCACGCGTGCGCTTGCTAAGCTTAACAATGATCTCATTCCACACCACCTCCTGAGCATCCTCTCCAATCCACATTCCCAAATACTTAAGACGCGTGGCCACCTCGAGCGTTGGGAAGGGGTCGCCAAGCTCTTCAAACAAGTCAAGCAATGGCTCGAGCAGGTTACGGTAGACAAGGAGAATCTGGCATTTCGGGGGGTCTCGTGGGCTGTCTTGGACCGTCTTGAGACCCTCTTAGGGCTGCCTTCAAGCCATGTTGGACAAATTGTGAAACGCTCTTGTGCGGTCTTGGGCTCTCTTGGAGCGCTCTTGGGCCATCTTGGCGCCCTTTGGATAGCCTCTCGGCCCCCTTCTGACGTTTTTGGCGCCCCCCGCCGGGCCCGAAACGGCCGGAAGTTGAATTAATGCACTTTGGGGGGCCTCCTGACCTTTTATATTTGTGTCTATTTATACACATATGTATACACTGCGCCTGGGCCGCAATCTGCCACTACGTGGTGGACACCCTATACACAGCATAGTGGAAATGCTCCTGGCCCCGAAAATGACGACCGCGGACAACCACTATTTATAAACAGGACGGGCGGTGAAGACGCAAGCGCCGTGGCAGCCTGAGAAACGCTCCGAACGACGTCGCCCGCCCAACAGGTACCTTGACGGGGCTGGCCAGTGAAACTGGCGAGGAGCGAGCCGAAGAGGCAGAGGACGCAAGGGTACAATAAGGAAAGCCGTCAGTCCTTATTCTGGACTGTGTCTAAACACCTGAGTACGTAAACGTTCGGAGCTCCGCGCGAGGTCTTCGAGCGGCGCTGGACCCGCCTCCTGGGCGCGCGGAGCGAGCCACGGGCGACGCCGGAGGCGACGCCCAGAGCGCCGAGCGCCGCGCCGAGAACTCCGCCCGGACCCGCTTATGCTGCTTCTGTTTCTGCTCGGACTCTCGGGAGGCACCTCCCAACTCCTTCCGCCGGCGCCCCGCTCACGGCGCCGCCCTCGGCACACTGCCGCCGGCATCCCGCCCGTGGAGCCGCCCCCGGTGCACAGTCGCGGGCATTCCGCGAGCCCTTCGCCGACCCTCCTCCAAGCGCCAGACCTCTGACGTCGTGACTTGTCTGCCCGCGCGCGGGCCCCGGGGCCTCTTGGACCCCTCCTCCCTCGGCCTCGTCCTCGCCCTCGCCCCCCCCCCATTCTCGCTTCCTCCTCCTCCCTGGCCCCCGTCCTCGTCGTCGCCCGTGTCCTGCTGGCCCGTCGCTACTTCTCCGCTTCCCGCGACGACGACGATGGCCCTGCGGAAACCAAAAGATGCCGATACCGCTGCTCCTCAGACCTCCCCCAGGGTGCGTGCGGACCAGAGCTCCGAGGCGAATCCAGCCGTGGCGACGGAGGCCTCCCAGGGGGCCGACAGGGGCGAAAACCAGGGAAAGGTGGCGGCATCGGCACCTTTCCGCCTCCGAGACTCCGGCCCCCCGGCTCGGCGCGACTGTCCATGAGCCGGACTGGCCTGTCCACCGCGCCCCAGACGTCGGGAGCGATCTCCACCTGGGAGAGAAGAGGCCGGAAGGGACCATACGCAGCGGCGGCGCCGCACCCTGTCGTCCTCCTCTAACGCTCCGTCGGTCGAACTCTCGACCTCCCTGCTCCCACTCGTCCTCCTCGAGCTCTCCGTCCTCCTCGTCGCCCCCCCCAGCTCATGCTCGGCGTCCTGCTCACCTGCGTCGACGTCGTTGGCCTCCTCCAGATCCTCCTCCTCATCATCCCTTCCCTCTCCGCCTCCGCCTCCCCCTCCTCCTCCCCTCCTCCTCCCAATTCCCCTTCTCCTCCGCCGCACACGGTCGACAACTGTCGCTCACCGTGCCGCGGCGGCGGCCCCTGCGGCAGGCTTCGGCCCGCAGGCGGATGGCGCGTCGCTCCGCTCCGCGGGGCGGGGCGCGGGAAGGCCCTCGGGGCCAGCGCGTGGTTGGCGTGGCGCGCCGAAGCGAAGGTGGCCCAAAGCTGGCGACGCGACACGCTGGGCAACCGTTCCCGAATGTACAGTCGGGGCGTTGACCTAAGGAACCCTAACTAAGGAACGAGGCCCCTTTTTTTCCATAAGTTCAACTTCGATTTCCGATCGAGGACAATAGGAAAACCTGAGGCAAGCTGCGGAACACTTAAGGAACGCGGAGCCCATCCCCAACGAAAAGGGTTCCTTCTTCAGGGCCCCGACTGTAGGCCCTCCCACTGAGAAGGAGGCAGGCGCGCATGGATAGCGCATACGCTGTTCGGGCGGACCCTCCCTCTGACAGCGCGCCGTCTCTACATGGGCCAGGAGAAAGGTCGCCAGGAGGAGGAGGAGGAGGAGGAGGAGGAGGAGGAGGAGGAGGAGGAGGAGGAGGAGGAGGAGAAGGGGAGGGGGGTCCAGCGCCGACCCATGACACCTGTGCGGACCTCCGAACGCCTGTGCTCGAGGCCTCCCGGATGGGGTCCGAGCGGAACGGTTGGGAGGCTCTCGCCGCATCGCCGATGCGTCGGCGATGCATCGGCGATGCTGCGGCGATGCCTCGTCGAGGTGGGTGGAGCATCGGCGACGTAGACGTGGGGAAGCGCGGGCCCCACATCGAGCCGCATCGTCGATGCGTCGGCGATGTAGCGCGATCTGTCGACCCCGTCTGCTCGGACCCCATCTGGGAGGCCTAGACGTGCAGGGGATTCTCGAAGGCTGCGCCATGAGATGCCTCAACCGGGGATGGACAGACCCCCCTTTAGCAAAACGTGGTTTGGTGAAAACGACCTGAGGTCCAAACCTGGCGGGCGCAAGCCTGGAAAATAACGGCCACGGCGCCCTCTCGAGAGCCGAAAATGGACAATTCACTAATCGACGTGTCACTGTTGGGGGCTCTGTCCACCCCCGATTCAATCGAAACAAGGGCCACGATGACGCCTGTCGAGGTCACGGGCCCCCCTTCGCCGCTGGACCAGGCGCCCCAGGGAGATACCCACAAGGAATACGGGGCAGAACAGTCACCCCAGTAAAGAGCACCCCGACAAGCGAAGCCGCTCAGTGAACGCGCTCAAGGGAGGAGTCGAACAGGGCGGGGCTGTTTAGTCAACGCCCAGGGCCGTTTCGTAAACTCCAGTTGTCGGGGTCCGGGTGCTTTCCTTGAGCGAAGAGAGCGACATGACGGTACCACTGCTCTGAACCCTCGTGCCAGCTGTGTGCGCACTGTGTTGATTCCTGCTTCCTCGTCTTGGGAGCGGGGGACCTTTCGATCGGGGTCGTGCCGGGCTCACCTGTGGGCAGTCCACGCAGGCCGTGAGATCAGCTCAGGCCGAAGGGGGAGGGGGATGATGATGATGATCATGATGAGGATGGAATGGGTAAGAAAGAGGGAAACAAGGATGCAGAGGAGGGCAGGATCGAAAAGAAGGGAGGGAGGAAGGAGAGGGGCGAGGAGGAAGTAGGAAGGAGACAGATGAGTAGGATAAAGAGGTCCTCCCAGAAACATCAATGTATGAATTCTGTCCGCCTCCCCATCCTCACCACATCCGCAAGGGGCAGAGAAACCAATCCCTCCCTCCTCTCTTTCTCCTCCTCTTGCCCCATCTCGTCCATCCTCGCTTCTACCTCCTCGCTCCACGATCCGTCGTCCTTGTTTTTGTTGCGTTGCGCGGACTTCGGCGGTGTGAACCGTCGTGTCTCATCCCTCCTGGCTCCTAGACCCCGTGAGCTGAGGCGTGCTCGTATATACCGCTAGGACTTGGAGTCGTCTGGGGGGTCTGACTGATTGGGACCCCAGAAATCTCAGGAGGGGGGATGGAGCCTAATTCGTTCAAGATCGAAAAACTGGTTCCCTCCTAGGGACGATCTGGTGCAACTTTTCACCCAAGATCCGTGTCTCACGGCCCCAGGACCCAGAACTGGCCACCAGGACCCTCCAACCTGCCCGCCCTTCCTGCTGGCAAGAACCAGTGCTGGGTCACGACGGCTCCAAGCTGGGACATATTCAGCCCGCCCGCCCCACCGCAACGGAGTGCGCGTGCGGGGACAGCACCTCGGAGATGCCCCATCGCTCCACCTCTCCTCCCGCAAGCACGCCATCCCGCGCGTGGGAACGGGCGTGCGCGCGCGAGTCAGCGGGGTGAGGGGACGAAGCGGGGAGAAGGGGGAGGCGGCGGAGGGGGAGGGCAGGAGGGCGGCGGGGGAGAACGAAGAAGATGAGGAAGGACAGAGCACGGAGAAGGTGGACGAAGACGGGAAGGAGGGGGGAGCGATGGTGGGCAGGGTCGCCCCCCCAGCGATCAGCCTCTCCCCGGCCAGCGATCGGCCTCTGCCGTGGCCTTCCCGCCTTCCCGGGCACGTCAACATTCGGCTCCTCCTGGGCCCCCGGACGCGGGGCGCCCCCGGGCCGCCCGGGAGGGCAGGACGGCCAGGGAAAGAGGGGGCTGCGACAGCTGCAGCGTGCAGCCAGTTGCCGTCCCGCCGCCGGGCCCAATTCCTCGATGCACGGGCGCATCCCGGCGCCAGGAGGCGCCAGGAAGACCAACTACACGAGCTGAGTCTCTACCCTCTGCCATCCTAACCTTTGCTATCCGATCCTGCTCCCTGCTCTTTGCTATCCTACAGGCGCCGAGTCTCTAACCCAGCCTCTGCTAGCCTATCGTTTCGTCCCCCACGACGTCCAAGGCCTTACAATGATCTCTGGAGAAGTCCGCCGCCTCCTGCTGATCAGAGGCCCTGAACAAAAAACATCTCGATCGGGCCAGCCCGGGCCGACTCCCAAGCGCGGGTGCTCCTGCCGACCGAAGGCCCAAACAAGACCACCGTGATCCTCAATGAAAAAGCGATCCACCTCTTTCACCTCCCTCCCCCTTCATCATTGCACAATCTGAATACTACTCTCTTATCTCCCCTGACCCTGTCCAGAATATCCCGGCCCCTCCTCCTCGAATTGGTTTCTCTGTATTTTGGATCGTGCTTGCAGCCCACTTGTTTTCGGTGTTGCAGACCGGTGCTCCCGCTACAGCGCGGGCCTCATTCTCGGATCGGCGATGTGTTCCCGTCGTTCAGGATGACGCTCTCGACCCAGAGCGGGCCACTGTTCTGAATACGAATCCATATATTCGTTGTCGCCCCCCTCATTTCCCATCCTCCGCCTTCCTCTAGTCCTCCTGCTCCTCCCATTCTAATTATTGCTGATGTTCGTCCTCGCCCTCCTTCCCCACCCTCCTCCTTTTCTTCCTGTTCATCCTCCTGATCATCCGCCACCACCTCCTCTTCCTCCTCCTTTATACGCAGCTCCACTTTCCGATTGCAAAAACTAAGAGATCGTACTCTGGGCGAGTTCCAGTTGCCTATGACGCGCGCCCGCGGTTAGAGAAACCATCAGCGACATGGGATGAGATGGGAGGGAGGGATCCGATAGCATCTACAGTGGGGGCGCGGCCGCAAGAAACCCTCGCAAGAAACCCAACCCTGAGAACCCGTGCGCGAGGTACGTCTGAGGGGAACCCTGGAGCACCCTGAACGCAGCAGCTCCTTCAACGGCTGCGGGAAGTCACCGCGCAGCGCGAGGAACGAAGAAACCCGGGATACCCTGACGAACAGCGTATGGTTTCTTGATGCGCGCTCCCACTGTACAGCGCGGGCGCACCTCGCTTGCCCCTTCTTCCCCCTCTCCATCGCCTCCTCCTCCGCCCTCCCCCCCTGCCCCTCCTCCTCCTCCTCCTCCTCCTCCTCCTCCTCCTGAGTGGAAGTTCGCGGCTTCAGGAGTTGATTTCTAGAGGATTGGTGGCACCAGATATTCTGGAACGTCCAGGCCGATCACGATCGGCTACGACGTACAGTGACCCTGGGCTGCCGCCAATCCCGACTGTAATGCTGCCTCGTAATAGGCCGTTGCAGGCTAGAGGGAAGGGTCGGGGTGGTGGGTCGGAGCGGGGGCGGGGGAGGAGAGGAGCTCTCTGAGCCTTTGGGCTGGCGGCCATCTGCGGGCTGCGTGCCTGTTGGCCTGCCAGTCGTGGCCAGTGCCTCAGCTGGAGTGAGCGAAGGTCTCGCCTCAGGGAGTGAATGTGGGGTCCGTAGTGACCCGCCTCAGAGCCCTAGTGCGTGTCGAATTGCAGTCTGAGTTCAGGCAGAGATGCAGTGCGGCTTGTTGGCACAGTCAGGACTCCATGAGATGGTCTAAGGTCTAAGGTCTCCTCCTCCTCCTCCTCCTCCTCCTCCTCCTCTTCCTCCTCCTCCTCCTCCTCCTCCTCCTCCTCCTCCTCCTCCTCCTCTTCCTCCCCTCTACTCTACTCCCCTCCTTGGTCCTAGGTCCTCGCCAGAGCAATGCTCCTCCTCCTCCTCCTCCTCCTCCTCCTCCTCCTCGTCCTTATCGCCCTCCTCTCTACTCCTTCTCTCTCTCTCCCTACTCCTCCTCCTCCTCCTTCTCCTCCTCCTCCTCCTCTTCCTCCTTCTCCTCCTCTTCCTCCTCCTCCTCTTTCTCGTCCCTCCTCCTCCTCCTCTTCCCCCCCTCCTCCACGGGAGCGCGCTTTAACTCCCTCCTCCACGTCGTCCCGCGCGCGGAAAAGGGGGGGGGGCAGAGGGAGGACGAGGCAAGAGGGGGGAATGAGGAGGAGGGCGGCGAGAGTGGAGGAGCGGGCGGGCAAGGAGGTAGAGGAAGGGACGGAGGTGAGCGAAGGACCGGGAGGAGAATGAACGGGAGGAGGGGAGGAGGGGAGGCGGACGGCGGATGAGCAGGGGATGGGGAAGGGGGCGGACTCTGAAGCATGGATTCTGAAGTGCCGTCCTCGCGGCGCAGCTGGGCCGACGGTGCGTGCACGCTGGCTCGCTCCTTCTCCTGCATCCTCGCCCCTCCTCCTCCTCCTCCTCCCTCCTCCTCCCTCCTCCTCCCCTCCCTCCTCCTCTCTCCTCCTCCCTCCTCCTCCTCCCCCCTCCTCCTCCTCCTCCTCCTCCTCCTCCTCCTCTCCTCCTCCTCCTCCTCCTCCCCTCCTCCTCCTCCTCCTCCTCCTCCTCCTCCTCCTCCTCCTCCTCCTCCTCCTCCTCCTCCTGCCGAGAGCACGGGGCCAAAGGATGGCGGGCCAGGCGCGGCAACGGCCCGGACCCCGGCCGACGGATCTGGGCCTCCGGGGGCCGCACGCCCGCCGTGCCCGCCTGGGGCGGCAGCCCCATCGCACCCGCTTGGAGGTAGTCCACGCTGGCCTCGGAGGGGGCAGCGAGGAGGAGGAGGGGGAGGGGGGGAGGAGGAGGAGGAGGAGAAGGAGGAGGAGGAGGAGGAGGAGGAGGAGAAGGAGGAGGAGGAGGAGGAGGAGGAGAGAGGAGGGGGAGGAGGAGGGGAGGAGGAGGAGGAGGAGGAGGAGGAGGAGGAGGAGGAGGAGGGGGAGGAGGAGGAGGAGGAGAAACGAGGAGGGGAGAGGGGGAGGAAAAGGAAGGATGAGGAGAGAGGGATAGAATGACGAAGAGGCGGAAGAGGAGGAGGAGGAGGAGAGAGCGAGAGGAGGAGGAGGAGGAGGAGGAAGGGAGGAGGGAGGAGGAGGAGGAGGAGGAGGAGGAGGATAGAGGAGGAGGAGGAGGAGGAGGAGGAGGAGGAGGAGGAGGAGAGAGGAGGAGGAGGAGGAGGAGGAGGAGGAGGAGGATGAGGAGCAGGGAGAGAGGGGGAGGAGGGTAGAGGAGGAAGAGTAGAGCTCCTCTTGCCTCGTCCTCCATCTGCCCACCCCCCCCGCCCCCGCGCGCGGGACGACGTGGAGGAGGGAGAAAAAACGCGTTCCCGTGGAGGAGTGGGGGGAAGAGGAGGACGAGGGACGAAAAAGAGGAAGAGGAGGAAGAGGAGAAGGAGGAAGAGGAGGAGGAGTAGGGAGAGAGGGGAGGAGTAGAAAGGAGGGCGATAAGGAGAGCACGAGGAGGAGGCGGAGGAGGAGGAGAAGGAGGAGGAGGAGTATTGCTCTGGCGAGGACCTAAGAGGGGAGTCAATCACTTGCTCAACTTGAAGATGTCCTCTCCACTGCTCGCGCAAACATCCCACCCTCCCACCCGCAACTTGGTTTGCAAAACCTCTTCAGACCGACTACGACGACACCGGCGACAACGACGACGACGACGACACCGACGACGTCTCCGACGACTTCGACGACGACGACAACGACGCCGACGCCGACGCCGACGACGACGACGCCAACGAAGGCGGCGACGAGGGAGGAAGGACGACGACGGCGACAACGACGACAACGACGACAACGACGAGGGAGGAGGGAGGACGGCGACGACGCGAACGACGACAAAGGAGGAAGGACGGCGACGCCGACGACGACAGCGACGAGGGAGGAGGGAAGACGACGACGACGACAACGACGACGACGACGGTGACGAAATAGGAGGGACGACGACGAGACGCCGACGACGGACGACGACGACGACGACGTGGGAGGAGGAGGAAGGACGACCACGGCGACAACGACGACGGAAACGACCACGACGCCAAAGAGGACGACGACGACGAACACGAGAAAAGACAGAGGACGACGTAGGCGACGACGACGACGACGACGCGGGAGGAGGGAGGACGGCGACGACGACGACGACGACGACGCAAGAGCGCGCGCGCACGCTTTTGTTGAAAATCCGTGTTGCAAAACCTTGGGTTTTTGTAGGTTTTTTGGATGCACGATTTTGAAATCCTTCCGAAACCGATAGGTTTTGAAGGTTTTCGGCATACGCCCGCGACGACGCGCGCGTCTGCACTTTGTCCAATTTTTTGTAGGGGATTCTCGCGACGGCACACGCGCAAGGGCGTTCGACAGATTTCGACATGCGCGCGCGAAGCCCGTTTGGTAGCATGTTGTGTAAATCTTGAAAAACCTATGGTTTTCTTAAGATTTCGCAAGAGCTCGGGCGGAAGCTTTTTTAGCAAATCAGTGTTGCGAACCCCTGTGTTTTTGTATGTGTTTTGTAAACTCGATTGCGAAATCCTTCCGGCACCGAAGGTTTTTGAAGGATTTCGGCATGCGCGCGCGACGACGCGCGCGTGTGCACTTCGTCCAATGTTTTGCAAGGGATTCGTGAAAAAGTGCTATGTTAGAACAAAAAATGTCACCGCATAGCGTTTTTTTACAAGGGAACCTCAGGGGGTGGGAACGTGGCCTGGCTGGGATGATATGAGTTCATATTTAGGATGGACGAGTGGTCACAATCATATATGAATTACATACCCGAAAGGGGAACGGATAAGTCTGGGGGGGGGTAGAGTCTATTCTCCTTCTAGAAAGGGAAAGAAAGGGGAGGACGAGGAATAGGAGGAGGAGGAGGAGGAGGAGGAGGAGGAGGAGGAAGAGGAGGACAAGGAGGTGGAGGAGGAGGGTAGGGGAGGAAAAGGAGATGATGAGGAGGAGGTGGAGGAGGAGGAGGAGGAGCAGGAGCAGGATAGAGGAGGAGGAGGAGGAAGACGCAATCACAGCTCAGGACAAAACCACAACTCAACTGGACAGAGCAATCACGGCAACGGGCAAAGTTTCAGCGAGGAGACCCACACCGCGGAGATGTGCAGACTCCTGGCTTACGCCGCCATGAACGCCATCTACCACAGGTGGGCACAGCCACGAGACCGCCCGGACTGGGACCTGCGACGTGATGAACTTCTACGTCCCCCTGGACCCGTACTACTACATGTACGACGGACGGTGGCCACCTCGCAAATGCGGGCCACGGCGGTCCATTGCTTAGTATACAGCCCATGTTCTCAGCAGTGGTTCTGGCACGCCTCACCGTGGCGTCCGATCGCCTACCCTGTCAAAAGAGAAGCCCCCCCTATGCCATCACCTGCGCGTACTCAAGCATCAATACCTGACGTATCACAACCATAGCGCTGCTTCGGCTCAAGAGCTAAGCACAAGCCGATTCGCGAGCACTTGGCGCAACCATTGCCAAGAGCGACGCATCATGAAGCCCCCTTTGGATCTACATCATTAGAGGCTTACAGTACCCCATCAAGATCCACAGGCAGACATCTGGATACCTGCTGACGTGCTTGGCAAATTAACCAAGTTCAACGACACCAACGAGGTCAAGCACGGCAACCAGCAACGAGTTGCAGTGATCAGATTAGCCCCACGCAGGACACGAAGCGACGCCCCTCCTGAGCACCAACAAAGGGGAATGCTCTCATGTCCTACAACAAAGAAGAAGGCGCTCATCTACGCCCCTGGAGACCCCCAAACAGAACCGCAAGGCGCTGCTCCTTGCACTGGCACAGTAAGGCCATCCCAAGGAGACAACGCGGCTGGGACCTTGTCGCGCATCTACACCTACGTCTACCTCGACCTGGGCTACATCTACGCACCCGCGGCAGTGAAGGGAGGCTTCGTGCGTGCCACAAACTGACACCACATCACCATCGCCTCCCTCGTAGCAACTCGGGAGTACTGGAAGGACAAAATCAAGGAACACTGGGCCACCGTGCTGGACAGCTTCTTCGTGCGCTCCAACAACGAGCTATGGACCGACACGGACCATTATGTGGATCGACCTGATCATTGCCCTCACTACCGCACTGCTACAAAACACCGCACACAAGAAGATGCAGCAAACGACCGCGACCCCGAGAAGATCCCCGTCCATAACCTTGAGTGGCGCGACATCCAAAGGCTGGCAAACACCGTGCCTCCACTTCTACAAGCACCACCATGGAAGAACAAGGACGAAACGCCTTTCGCGAACCTCCAGACGCTACACATCCTCAAACGGAAAGGCATGGAAAAGCGCGGCACCTTCGAAGGAGATCGAGCGCAATGCCATCCACAGCAACATCGAGAGATACACCCAGAAGACGCACATCGTAGCAATCACCGACACCTACGGCGCGCTGCACCCCACCCCAGAGATTGACACACTGGCCGCATATGCAAGAAACATCGTGCAAAAACCCGCGGAAGAGGGACACTGCGCCCATGCACGGACAACTACGTTCTACCCGTCGACCGCCATTACATTACTCAACAAGCGATCGGTGGACTGCACTGCGAAGAAAGCGACCTCAGAGGACAGCGAGCGTCAATGTACGTGTGCCATCAACGAGAAATCGCACTCCTAACAGCATGGACCAGCACATACCAACGAAATCGACCGCGTGAAGATTCTAAAACTGAGCCCACCTGCAGGCGACTTCCCCACGTGGCCCTCCATCATCGACAACGCCCTCATCGAATGCCCAGATAAGGCCCTACAGGAGATCACCACGACCTCGGAGACATGCACAAGAGGAAGTGACGGAACCACCAACGTCCATGCGGAGGCCCACAAGCAGGGGATCATCGTTCACCAGGTCGAGTTTACCCCAAGTGGAGATGCATTACCAGAGACAGGACAGAGACCTGATTACGAAACGCAAGCATGCAAGCGACCCACCGAACTACTGCTAGGCGGCATCATGCTGATCAAGGCCAACGACATCGACAAGCTACCTGAACAAGACGCCCACAAAGCAGGACAGTACCTAACCGAGGGCGAGGACAACCACAACTCTCGCGATTTGCTTCAGCGCCACCACAAGCTACGCAATGCTGGGTTTCAGCCCATCAACTGGGCCCAGAGATACTTCCCCGACTGGAATCCAGCTTTCCCAGAAGGACCACAACAGGCGCAAGGACCAGCGCGAACTACCCGAGCAAAGACCGACCTGCAGCTCGTTCAAAGAAGGTCAACACCACAGGTCTAACACACCATCCCTTTACCCATGCCGACTATCTCCCAACTCATATACAACCAGAACGTGACTCCGACACCGCATCAGCCGCCACCGCCGACGGGGCCACCCCCAGGCAGAGCCCCAATACAAACCACAACGACGACGCCGACCGCCCGATACTTCCGCAGCACAGTCGCCCCGCCAAGGTACCATCCAAGTGACACTCTGCGGCCCTGCCCCAATCGCCTTGCAGTGCTGCCACCAGGATGGCAGGCCGTCGCCGACGCAAACAGGAGCCTCGCGTACGACACAACTTGCAGACAGGCACCACCCAGTGGGAGTCCCCAGGCGACGTCGACAACAACCCATGCTGCGCTCGACAGCTCACCGATCAGAACGTCGAGGCCTGCAGCATCAACAAGGACGACTGCTTCCACCACAGCCCCAGGCCGATATCCCCCACCCCCCCAAAGAGCACCCCCCACTGCCAGAGTGCCCTGCCAAACGGGAGCAGGTCGACACAGCAATGACACAGACCATGCACGACCTACCCGACAAGCTGAGGACCCAATGCCAACAGGAACAAGAAGCACGCGAATGGGTTGATCGAGCACATCTGTAGCACAGCGACATCGCAGGCGGCGCCTTCTTCTCTCTCCTCAAAGTCAATCAGGAATCCAGGTCGTTCCTCACCTTCGGCAACACCATGCTCGTGGACGCACCTGTGCTAGGGGGAGGCCCACACCCACCACGCGCGAGTCGCACCATCCACCGCGTCAAGCAGCTGTGCGGCCCAAGACCAATACTCGCACCTTGCGACGACCACAGCACATTCGAGCGCGAGATACACATCGAGATACTACCGACTCGAGACCCGAGCGCACACGAAGTCACCGTGCACAATCACGAAAACACGACAACGACTTAGGACAACAACGCGGCGCACCTACTGAAGAACGAAGCACCTACGAGCAGCGCAGACGCACTTACCAACGCAACTACATCAAACATATCACCAGTACCGAATCCCAACCAACAGCACCAACCAACCAACCCAACATAGCGGCACGATCTCAGCAGCGAAGCCTGCAATATTCAAACACCACCTACCCTACCGACAGCCAGAGAAGACACAGTAGAACAGCCGACACACGTGATCGACTACGTGGTCAATACCAGACAACACGAGCCCGACTCATAGGAGCGCCACACACCCACCAGTGAACCTAGCGGCTCGAACCCGACTTCCACCGACGGCATACCAGCAGCAAGCACCAACCAACCATCTGCCATAGAAGTCGCACCACAGAGGCCCAATGGCTGGTTCCCCATCACCACGATCACACACGAGAAGGTCAACCCCGACGCAATCACCTTCCCCATGGAAGTAACCATACGCCACTTGTTCCATACCAGGCTGGAGGACTCTCTCGAAAACGGCACAATCACGGTGAACGAGGGCAACGAGGTCACAAGCATCAGCGTGTCCTACAACAACAACTACGACCTATGGGCACGGGGCACAATCACTCAGACCAATACCATGCGGAACACCAGACAATCTCTGATATTGGACATCATCACGGAATACCGGTCCCGACACACCGACATCCAGGAGAAGCTCGACATCCTTACTACAATGGTAGGCAAACACAACGCCAGCTACAACCAGGCCCTCAACACCCAGACGGAGATCAGCTCTTGAACATCGCATCAGAGAACTGGTGAGCTAGCGCTTAGGCATCTGAATGTCAGCCTAGATCCCATGGGATGCCTGGGTACACGCGACGGAAGTTACTCGAACGTCGCTGGCTACTGTAATAAGAACCGAAATGAGTCTGGACGTTCCAGCTGCCAGTGGAGAGGGGGGGGCAGACGACGGCAAGAAGAAACACGAAGGGACAGCAGCGGCAGGAACGGCGCCAGGACGCACGAGGAACCCGTGGGCCTGGGCCTCCTCCCCGAGACCGAACCCGAGCGAGCCGTGAAGCGCAGAGGCGGGAGGCGGCGAGTGAGACGACCGCGGAGCCGGCGACTCCTATGTCGGCGACGTCTCCGAAGTCATCCCCGGACTCGAAGCCGAGCGCTCCGAGGATGCCCCGGGGGCGGTTCCCTGTTGGCAAAGCGCGGTGAATGGCGCCCCTTCGCGCGTGGACAGCCCGCTTGGCCTCTCGAGCGCCAGCAGGAATCTCGGAACGCACTCGGGGTGCACGTTGAGAGCCGTCCCGCGGGTCGACCCAGGTCGTGCCGGTGTGGTTGCAGTCGTCGGCGAGGGCCCCTGCTGTCGCCGCAGCCGCAGGCTGGAACTTGAGGCTGCACGTTTGGGCGATGCTGTGACACTCGGGTGTGGCGCCGTCCGACAAGTAGTGCGGGAACCTCGCTTGGAGTCGGCAGCTGGTGGGCCTGGCGTGCCACCTTCAAAACTGGACGAGGAAAGGGGCCAACGAACTTGATACAGCCGTTCGTGTCGGGGATCGCATCATGGCCACGTCGGCGCTATCCTCTCTCCGAGATAGTCACGGAAGGCAAAACAACTGCGCGCCACGCTGCCCTTCGCCGATGTCGCTGCTGTGGGAGGCGGGGTGGATGCAGCGGCCTGCAGCGCGTCCAGATCTGCTCGCATGGCGGTGCGATTCCCCGTGGGGGTGTCCATCTGGGTGGTGCTCTGGACGATCGGTGCACGCTGGGCAAAGATGGTGGCGCTCTGCTGCGGGATGGATGTGCTGACCTCCGCAGGCCTCGACTCTCTCAGTGTGCCGTGGTCGGCGGCCGCGCCACCGCCCTCTGCGATCGCCTGGCCGATGGACTCCTGCAGATCGGCCGCGAGCATGGCTGCGACAGGAAGACGCGGAACGAGGAAGGGGCTAATTGAAGGGGCCCCAGGACACACAAATAAATACACACAAATAAAAATATTCCCCATCTTTTCTTATCTTTTCTGGGTTTCTGTCTTCCCCCTACTTCCCATATTTTCCAATATTTTCTGAGGAATCGAAGATTACTTGTGTCTGTGTGTTTTTTCCTCTCCTGAATGGTTGCGACAGAAAGACGCGGAAGCAATGAGGAAGAGGCTAATGCGTGGCCCAAAGCGCCCAGTAAAGGCCGACTAAAGTCGCCAAACTGCCTGCCGCGGACCAGCGGTATCCGAGCTCTGCCACCGGCAAGCGGACATCGTCAGCCAACATGGCTACGGTGGCTACGGGGAGGAGGAGGGGGAATGAGGAGGAGGGGAAGGAGGAGGATGAGGAGGAGGAGGAGGAGGAATAGGAGGAGCAGAGGGGAGGAGTAGGGAGGACGATGAGGAGGAGGAGGACTAGGAGGAGGAGGAGGAGAAGGAGGAGGAGGAGAGGGGATGAGTTTTGCTCAGGCCTTTATGCTCCTGGGGGGCGTGGATCTCAAGAGGCGACCAGCTGGCCGCCAGGACGGCGAAGGGAGCTAGCGTTCGGCGCAGCCTTCACGCCAGTTGTGACCCACGGGCCTCCAAAGGTCTTCAGCTGGCCTTCAACACGCCTCAGGAGAGCCTCCACACGAAGCCAAGCTGACAACCAACTAAACATTGCAACGCTTGGTGCCGAACCTCGCCGAAGCGCTGCCCCCGAACAACCGCCGATGACCCCCATTGGAGGCCGCCGTGACTCCCGCCCGGCGGACACGGCAACAGCATGAAGCCCGCTGGACGCAAGGCCACATGCTATAGACGCCAACCGACGGGCGCAGACCCCATACGTCAAACATTCGTTCACATGCATCTGCACATCAAACTCGCAAACCAATTCTGCGAGGCGGTGGATATGGATAAATTCCCGCCTCGGAAATTCACGGAACCAACACGCGAACTGGAACACGTGTGCATACGTATGAATACGTCGGGCAACTCTGTCGTGGCAGCTCGAGCTGTCACATCAGCGGCGGACGAACGTGAACGAGTGCATGAAACATGGAGCTCTGGCGTAAGATCATCAACCTAAGAAGCCCACAGGCAGAACAGGAAGACCCACGTGATGCTAAATAGATGGTGCTAGCAGACTAAACTGAACACCTACATGCACATGCAACAACATACGTGTCACAGCGATGAGCGTAGACCAGGCTACATCCAGTATCAACGAGCACTGGTGGATGCTCCTCTTCATCCTTCTCCTTTGAAGAGGCCCCCTTCTCGCATAATTTCCAACCGCGATGCCTTCACAGCATTGTGGCGCTCCTGAAGGTCGAGGTTTCTCTTGTTGAGCTCCTGGAAGCTCTTGTGGAGCACCTCTCACAAGCGAGCACGGACAGGGCGGGAGGAAACGAGGAAGGGAGTGAATACAAATGGATGAGAAACAAAGGGCTGCAAAGGGACGGGAACCGAAGAGGCGCATGAGACAAAGTGATGGGTACGGAGAGAGGCAGAGGGAGGGAGGGCCTGAGAGATGGAGGTGTGCAGGTATGGGTATGCACGTACGTAAGTGAGGAGCGGGGGTGGATACACATATGTGTATATATATATAGATACTACAACCATCGCGCGCGCTCCGCGAGCGCTCAAGTTCTAGCTAGGCTTGATCGGCCAACTCATGTAATCTCACTTTGGGCCGCTTCCTGCGTCCAAGGACTCCCTTGGAGGCCCTGCGCAAGCCTCGGAATCGTATAGAAGGGGAAGTGCGGAAACGCAGAAATCATTACTTACTTTCTTGTAGGTTACATCGATTTGGGGCCCTCGAAAGCTTCTTGTTTTTTTGGGGGGAGGTGAGGGGGTCTGAATTGTGGGCTGCTGTGCAAGCGTAGACCGGGGGCCAAGCTTGAAAATACAAAAAAAGGAATTGTGGGATTTCAATGTGTTTCCAGTTCCTCGGCGCTGTTCGGCGCTGTTTTTTGTTTGTGCCTCGCGGGTTTTGCTAGCCGGGCCCCTCAGGGGTGTGGGATCTTCCAGACCCCCTGGGGTTTCTGGAGGCCTCCTGGAGGCCTGGAGAGCCGTCGGAAGAATATCTCGGGCTGCGCGGGAGCGTGTTAGGCCGTTCTTTACGTTCTGGGGGCTCCTTGGGGTCGTCTTGTGCTGTCCTTGGACGTCTTGGGGAACCCCTGGGGAGCTGGGAGGCGCGGTGCCGGCCAAATGTCAGGGGATGTGCGGGATCTCCGAGTCGGAGTCCCACTTTGAACCAAAAAACTGGAATTCTGGGAAATCCTTCCTCACAACAAATCCTCGATCTTCGAGGATTGGAAGCGGGAGAACGTCAGAAGGCGAAGCACATTAGAAAAACAAGCAATAAAAAGAAACGGGAGAACGTCAGAAAACAAAAAACATGGAAAACAAAGAAAGAAATCAACGATGTTACCCTCTTTGGGCTCTCTCTCTCTCTCTCTCTCGGGACGGCTCTCGCAGCTCTCTTGGGCTGTTCTTGGAGCCTCGTCGGGGTCCTTTCGGGGTTTGTCAAGGATCGGGGGTGTGTTGATGGCCTCTGGGGGGTTCCTGTTCCCGCTATTGTGCCCATTTTGGGCCTGTTCTGGGGTAGTCTGGGGCTGTCCTGGGTGCCTCTTCGGCAGTCTTGGACCCTTCTTGGCTCGTCTTGGGGCCATCTTGAGGGTCTTTTGGGTGGTCTTGGGGCGGTCTTGGGGGCCTTTTCGGCGCTCTTGGACCATTGAAGCTCGAAAACGCGAGAAGCCAAAAACATTCAAAAACAACTGGGGATCGACGATTTGGGCCTCTTCGGGCCGTCCCGGGACGCCTCTCGGACCTCTCTTGGGGTCTTTCGGAGGCCACCTGGGAGCCTCGAGAGCCGTCCGAAGGCTGACTTGGGCTGCCTGGGAACGTGTTGGACCATCCTTTCGCATTCTGGGTGCTCCTGGGAGGCGTCTTGGGCCTTCCTGGGGCGCTGTGGAGGCTCCCCGGAAAGGCATCAGGGCTCCTGGGGGGCGTTTTTGGGCGGTTTGGGCGCCTCGTGGGCCGTCTTGGCCCCCTTGTGGGCCGTCTTGGGGGCCTTTTTGGGGGCATCCTCGACCGGCTTGGGTGCCTCTTGGGCCATCGTGGACGCAGTGGACGCCCAAAAGGCAAACACGCCAAACATATAAGTTTTCCCATCGGACATCGACGAGTTTTGTTTATTTGGCCTCTCTCGGGGTGCCTCTTGGGGCGTCTCCGGTGCCTTTAGGAGCCCTCTTGGCGTCATGGGAGTCGTCTTGAAAGGCGTCTGGAGCCATCGCTGCGGCCTCCTGGGGCTGCCCTCCCCTGCAGCCTCTTGGGGCCCTGTTGGCCCTGGGTCGCCGAGCCCCGTAAAAACACAAGGAAAACGAGGCCCCGGTACCCCCATGCGCCGTCGAGGTCGCGGCCCTGGGCCCCTGGTCCTCGTCCCCCGGGATACATATGCATATATATATATATATATACACACACACACATATATATATATATATATATATATATATATACATCACTCGTACCTTGAGGCGGAGTCAGAGCTCCCAACAGGCGGGCCTAAAAGGGCGCTCTAGAGAGATCAACCATAGCCTGCATGGCTCTGCGCAGGCGTGTAATAGAATCGGTCGAAAGTTTCCTCTGACGCAAGTGGGGCGGGCTCGGGGGCGGTGCGTGCGACGTTGTAAAGATGGAAAGCACGCACCACCCGCTCCACCTCCTGAGGCGTAGGGAAGCCAGCGAGGCCAATTCGCTGAGCCAGCGACGACGGGGGCACCTCTGGGTGGTATACAATGCCCCACAGCGCTGGACAGCGTATCTAGTGGGCCATGTCATCCCTGCAATCTACACACCGAAAACGACAGCCCCGAATCTCTGTACTGTGCAAACGGTAACTGGTGGGCCATCCGCCCACCACAGTCTTCAGGACCGCGCTTTGCCACGCTGGGGGGCCTCCATGACGGACCAGGTCCCGAAGGGGGGCCCAGCGCAGGGCACAAAACTCTACACCCCAGGAGGCTAGGCGCTTGGCGATTGTGTCCTGGAGAACATCGGGACAACAAAAATTGGAACGGAGAGAGGCAGAGAGGATCTTCTGGCGGCGCAAGCGCACAGGCGTCTCCTGCGCGCCTGCTCATCGACGGAGGCGAGCGCGGCACGGGCTGCCTCAGAGTGCTCACGATGTCCGAAGCGCCCCTGCGCGGCATCCTCAACCTGCATGACGATTGGTGGGGCCTTCCAGAACTGCGGGGACAGCCGACCGAGACCAATGACCTCCAGCGAGCCAACCTCCTCGACAGTCTTGCGGAGGCGCGCCAGCAGCGGGCGCCACATTGTGAGCGTGGTGTCTGCAGCGCGCATCCTCGACGCCATGCTGAGCACGAGCATGCTGGTGGGGCGGATCGCTGACCACGATGCGATGCCGAGGAGGCCCCTCAGCGAGAAGGACTGGGGCGGGAGGTGCCAGATCTTGTGCCATGCCCACGACTCCCGCCTGAGGAGTGACGCTGGGACGGGCATGAGCTGCATGAGGTAGCTGAGGACAGTCAGCACCCGCGTGTTGTAAAGGACAGTCGTGAGATGAACTGGGGCCCCGACACGGGCGAGTTCGCGAACAGCCGGGCATGCGAACGGCAGAAGTGGCATTGTCGGAAAAACAAAACTGCAGGGAAGAGGCCCAGCATGGCAAGGACCACCATAAATCTGGTAGGAGAATGGGAACGGATCTGAACAACTTACCATAACAATCAAATTGACAAACGGAACTTCTGTTACGTCTTCGGAAGATCTTGACTGTCCATTCGCGCCGCTAATCGGACCGCCTCCGCTTTGCATGCAAGCCGGATGTACGTCGAACGCACGTCGGAGAAAAAACACGCATCTTACGGGACCAAAACTTCCCCGAATATGCAACGCAACTAACCGTGAAAGAACAGCGTCGAAACCACCAACGGCAACATGGCACAAGGTATGGGAAACGCGACGAGAGAACATGATAGCACAACACGTGCATGGAAAACGAACACGTGATAGTGGAATGGAAGATCGCCTTGGAGGTAAGGAGGCTCAGGGCAGTGGCACTGACAGACCGCCAGGAGGGTGCCGAAGTCGGCAACCCGGGCACCGCTGTGCCTCTCTTGGGGAGCTGGGGCTTGGCAGCCAGACAGGGTGAGGAGGGGGCAGCCAGTGCACGAGTCTATATGGGTGGGGAGGGGGAAGGCCCAGAATCGAATCGATAAGTCGGATCGGCACTCGACATGAGTGGGATCGGCGGAAATCGGCAGCCGAGTCGGGAGACGCCGAATTGGCGGAAATCGGCAGGCTGGTAAGCCTCCGCTGAAGCATCGGAAGCCGGGTCGGAATCGGAAGCCGTCGCAACCGAACCGGATCGCATCGGAGTCGAGACCCTGGGAGGGGGAGGCGCTGCCACCGCGCCGAGGTCCTTGCCCTGGCACCCCGTCGGCAGATCAGCCTGGGCCTTCCCTCGGCGAGCTGGCGGCCCTGGGAGAGGGAGGGCCAGCAGGATCGGCGCCGTGAGACGCAGGGAGGCGGCCGGCGGAACGACAGGGGTGGGAGATCGAGGAGGGGCCTGCCCCATGCCCTGGCCCCGACGTGCGGCTCCTCGCCATCGCTCGGACGCCCATTCCCCGTGCATTTCTCGATTTCGTGCGCGTATTCTTCGCTAAATGATCAGAGATGCTCCTCGATGGTCCTCCCGTCGTGACCTTGCCTTCGCTCGGACGCCCAAGTTCACGTGCATGTTTCGGTTTCGCGCGTGTTTTCTTTGCTCGATGGTCCAGGATGCTCCTCGATGGTCCTCGCCGAGAAAAAATGCACACGTCCGAGCGATACCAAGGCTCTCTCTGACCCCCTCACGCCGTGGACTGCCCCCAGAGGAGCCCCTGGCCGACGTGGGCCGCCAGCCAACCCAGGCCGCGCGGGCCCTCCTCTTCCTCCTCTCAGGTCGGGCGTGTCTCCCCACAGGGGGGATTTTGGACGACAGATGAGAAAAGAGTCCAAAAATGATCAAAGATGTTCTGGAACAATCCCAAAAATCCAAAATGAAAAATGGAAAAAATCAAAAAAATGACAAATAATCCACTTGTCAAACACGTCGTCCCCAGACGATTGTTTTTACTGTTTTTTTGATATTCCTCCTGTAGAGGAGCATGCCCGACTGAATCCTCCGCTTCCTCCTCCCGTCGTCGGGGCCTGCAGCCTGCATCCCGTGTGCTGCACGCCTCTGGGGCAGTGGCTCCCAGAGGGAAGCCCCTTCGCGGATCTCCCGCGCCCCCTGTCCTGCATCCTCCCCTCGTTCTCCTCCCCCGCCGCTCCCTCCCCTGGGGGCTCCGGCACTCCTTTGCCGCCTCCTCCTCCTCCTCCTCCTCCTCCTCCTCCTCCTCCTCCTCCTCCTCCTCCTCCTCCTCCTCCGATTCCTCAGCCCTCGTTTCCCCCTCCCGCTCGCTCCACAGGGCCGCGCCGCAACGAGCTGCCGCCTCGAACTTCTCCTCGCAGCCCTGCCGGATGTGCTCGTCCAGGCCCGACAGCGTCTCATGATGGCCGTCCACCTTGCGCAGCCGTGGGGGCACGAAGAGGGGGGACGGCGACGCCTCTCGATACGGATACGCAGGATCAGTCAACATCGAATCGATGAACCTCCTGCCCCTCCTCCTCCTCCTCCTCCGCCTCCTTCTTCTCGTCCTCCTCCTCCTCCTCCTCGTCCCTCCTCCTCCTCCTCCTCCTCCTCCTCCTCCTCCTCCTCCCCTCTTCCTCCTCCTCCTCCTCCTCCTCCTCCTCCTCCTCCTCCTCCTCCTCCCTCCTCCCCCCCTCCTCCTCCTCCTCCTCCTCCTCCTCCTCCTCCTCCTCCTCTTCCTCCTCCTCCTCCTCCTCCTCCTAATGATCCGCCACCGTGCCTCTTGGCACAGAGTGGGCGTGTCCTCCGGTCCTTTGCCTACAGCCTACAGGAGGAACTCGACAACAAGAAGCCCTCCACAAGAAACCCAGCCCTGAGACCCCAGGACGCCCATTGATTCTTGGCGTGGGAGCGTCGCGCTCTCCATAGCAAAGCCATCGAAACTCAAAAAACCCGGGCCACCCGGGAAACCCGGTGGTTCTTGCCTTGGTCGGCCACTGTATGCAGAATCGGGCTGCATCGGCACGGAGTCCAAACCGACCCGCACCGGCCGTGCCTGGCTCCACGAGGACGCCGCGCAAACATCGGGGCGCACCAGGTCTGGGGCGCCCGAGTTATCCGGGGTAACTCGGGTCCGGGGTAACTCGGGTTTGGAATCCCGACAACGAACCCGAGTTAGCCCGGACCCGAGTTACCCCGGATAACTCGGGGCTCTGAAGGTCGTCGGAACACTCACGGGACGCAAGCCCGATCGAGCCGGCCAGGACCGACGCCCGGCATCGGGTCGATCGGCTCGGCCGTGGGCCCCGGGGGGGAGCGCCGCGGCAGACGCCCCGGGAGCGGACCTGCTTGCTTCTGGCTTTCTCGATCGCGGCCGGTGCTGGCCCCCGCCGCCGCCCCCCCCCCCCCCCCCCCAAAGGAGCGACACGATCCGTGCTGACCTCCGTACAGGGCAATTTCTAATACACAGGATTGTTGAACATATATGATTTTAAATGCATGACTAATTTATGAATGCGTTTATGCATGAGCTCATCGTTGTTTTTGATACGACCCCCCTGCATTTTTTAATACGCGATCCGCACGCGGGGCATGCATTGAAAACGGCACTGTGATGATTGCTCCTGGCTGTTCCTAACCCAAACATGATCGCGTCGCCACATAAAAACTGGACGGGAGGTTTGGGGCCATTCTCGGCCCCCCGGGAGCCCTCGCCGGGCCTCGGGACCGTCAAGAGAAGGACGAATAGCCCGTCCCTCGGATAATTAGGGTCGACAGGACTTCCAGGCAGGGGCCCCCGAAGGGCCCCCGGAGGAGGGGCCGGCGGTGCCCCTCGGGGGCGCGGCCCTGCCCGTGGAGGGCACGGCCGCGCGGCGGCCACGCCCTCGGGAGGGGGTGGGGGCGCCCTCGGGACGGGGTGGGGAAGGGGAGCGAGCGCGCCTTTGGCGGCGGGCCCGCGGGGGCGAGGCACAGGGGGCTCCTCCTTCTCTCCCTGCCTCGGGGAGGAAAAGGAGGAGGAGGAGGAGGAGGAGGAGGAGGAGGAGGAGGAGGAGGAGGAGCCTCCCTCCCTCCTGCCCCTCTCCCTCCACACCGCGTCCCTCTCTCCCCCCTCCCTCCCTCCTCAAGGGGAAGAGGGAACGGCACGACCAGAAACACTCTGAGCGGCCCGCGCGGATGTCTTGGATCTGGGCCAGATCCCCCTCCCTGGCACACGGAACGAGCGCGCCAGGGGCGGCGCCAGAGGCGCCGCGGAGGGGGGGGGGGGGGCAGCGCGGATCCACGAAATTCGCGCAAAGTGCCAAAAGTTTATGTTTATGCAGTTGCTTCTTCTTCGATCCTACCCCTCTCCCCCCCCCCCCCACCTCGTCCTTCCCCACCTCATCCCTCGCTCATCCTCCTCCTTCCCTCCCTCCCTCTTCCTACCCCCCTTCCTCCCCACCTCATTCCTCTCTCCTCCTCCTCCTCCGTCTCTCCCTCCCTCCCGCCTTCCTTCTCTCCTCCTTCGAGGCGTCACCAACTTGGGCCTCTGGGCTTCCAGAGCAAGACAATCCATACAATGGAAGCGGCAGAACCGCCCGCCGACTTGTCCGACGGGGGCCATCGGTCCATCCGCCCGCGCGCCGTCACGATGCGAGCGACGCCAGGAGGGGTTGGAATATCAGCTAAGATCCCACGCATGTCATGAGAGTGTTGGCGGCGAGCGAGGGGAGAGGGAATGAGAAGGAATAGGCCTTCTCAGAAGGCGGCGGGAATTCTCAGAAGCCCTCGCGCCTTCTAAGACATTGTCCTGTTTTCGGGGAAGGCTCAGGAAACTTGTCAGAAGCCCGGGGGACTTCCCTCCCTCGCTCGCCGCCGAGAGTGGTAGGCTGCAGGTAGAAGAAGTGTGAAGAAGGCTGGCGGCCAGGCCGTGCGTTCGAGGCAGAGCACTCCTCCTTCTCCTCTCCTCCTTCTTCTCCTGCTTCTCCTGCTTCTCCTGCTTCTCCTCCCCCTCCTCCGAATCCTCCTCCTAATCCTCCTCCTCCTCCTCCTAGCCACCTTTCCTCCAACTCCTCCTCCTCCTCCTCCTCCTCCTCCTCCTCCTCCTCCTCCTCCACTTCCTCCTCATCCTCTTCGTCACTTATTCGTCATCCTGTTCCTCCTCCTCCTCCTCCTCCTCCTCCTCCTCCTCCTCCTTCACCTTCTTCACCTTCTCTGCCCATACGGGCGGTGTGGGCGGCTGGCGAGGCGTGCCTTGGACCGGCACGCCGAGATGCGGGTGTCGTACTCCTGGATCTGCGCGGCCATCGAGTGGTACCTGCCCCTGCCGAGTCTTGCCCTTGGCCCTGGAGGCAGCCGGGTCCTGGACGCCCCTGGACCGTGCTCCGGAGGGTTCCAAAGAACGTTTTGGGGGAGGGGGTTTTCCAGAGAGCCCCCCAAGGGCCTCGGAACCTCGTCAAAGCAAGGGGTGCGACGCCCCTGGGGGGACCACTCCTGGAAAATCCCATCCCCCCAAACCCCCTTTGGAACCCTCCAGCTTTAGGCAATCCCTCGCCCTGCTCGGGCCTCCAGGGGCCTCTGACGTAATTCGCCGGCCCAACGGGCCAGAGGCGTGCTAAGATCTCGAGTAAAAAGCTAAGAATATAACAAGTTCGCGCGCGCGAGGCGGCCCTTGGGGGCCCGACGCGACAAGTACCCCGCCAACGTCCCAGCAAGTGCCTGCCAGAGATGCTGGAGGACCCCCAGACGGCCTAAGAGGCGCCCAAGACGGCCTCAAAAGAGCGCCCAGACGGTCCAAGAGCTCTTGGAGTCCTCGAAAGATCGGCCGACGATGCCACAAGATCGCTCCAAGACGCCCACCATGGCCTCCAGACGCCCCCCAAGGCCTCCAAAAGCACTCCCGAGAGGACCCCAAGAGGCACAATTCATTGATTTTCCTTGGGTTCGGAACACATTTTCGGGTTTCTCCTTTTGGGGCTTCCCGACGCTCCAAGATGACCTAAGAGGCTCCCAAGATCAACCCAACAGGGTCCAAGAGGACCCCAAGACAGCCCCAAGACGGCCCAAGATGGCCCCGAGACAGCCCAAGAGGCGCCCAAGACGGCCCAAGAGAGCCCCAAGACGGCCCCAAGAGGGGCCCAAGAAGGTGACCAGGAACCGAAAAGTCCAGCCTTCAGTCCCCCAAGGGGCATCCAAGAGGCACCCCAAGAAGCCCCAAGAGGCCCCCAAGAGGCCACAACAGGCCCCAACACGGCCCCCCAAAGGCCTCAAAACTGCCTCACAAAAGGCTCCTGAGAGGCCAACCACGAGAGCCCAACCAACATCCGTGAGGCCTCTGACCCGCCACCCACCGCCTCCGAAAAATGGCAGCCGCCCAACCGCACCGCATTGACAACAATACCCCGACAAACGACAGCGGCGAGGCAATATGGGCCGGCGGAATGAGCGAAGCGATTAAATAAATAGGTACAGATCCCAGGATTGCCATATGTCCCTCTATATATATATATATATGTATATGTACATATATATGTAGATGTGTATACATATATATATATATATATGTACATGCATACATACATACATACATACATACATACATACATACATACATACATACATGCATACATACAGACAGACAGACAGACAGACAGACAGACAGACAGACAGACAGACAGACACATATATATATATATATGTATATATTCTGGGTGCCCGTCTTCCCCCCCCCTGCTTCCCACATTCTCCCACACGTTTCTGGGAGTCGACGATGAATCGTGTCTGTGTGCTGTCTCCCCTCCCGAGCAGCGCGCCCGCGCCCCGGCGGGTGACCCCCGAGGGACCTCCGCGGAGAAGCAGCGCCCAGCGCCACCGGGAACCCCTCGGGGGGGGGCGGCGGTCCCTGGCGGAGGCCTGCCCGGGCGTCACCCTCGGCGGTGGACAAACCTCCCTTTAGTAGACCTCCCCTTAGTGAAAACGGCCTGGGACCGAAACCGACGGACGTGGACCCGCAAGAATGACGTCCGCGACGCCCTCTCGCGAACCGAAAACGGCCAATTCCTGAATCGACGTGTCAGGGTAGGAGGTCTGTCCACCCCCGACACCCGGGGCACCGCCACGGGGCTCCGGCACACCTCCGAGGCCTCCGCGCAGAGCTCCGAAAGAGCTCACGGCCAAGAGCTTTTGGCTAATAGCGCGTCGCGGCGGCGGCCCCGGCGGCACGCGCCGCCCTGCGAGCGGCTCGCGCGGCGCGCTGCTCCGCGGGGCGGGGGGCTCGGAACGCCTCGGGCCACTGGCGCCTGGGAGGGGGGGCGAGGGCAGCGAGCCGCGCCGCCGCGCGGCGGGCCAGAACCGGCGGAGCGACACGCGAAGCAAGAACCTTCCCGACCGTATAGCCCCTGAGCTGATCCCCCCAAGGGATCCTCGTCGTGGGGCCGTCTCGGAGCGTGGGGAGCTCGAACAGACGAGAACGCTAAAAACAGTAAAGCACGGTTCGTTGCATCAGAAATGTTGGTCTCCCGGAGGTCCTCATCGAATGACTATCTAACGATCTTCGGCCCATCCCGCCTCTGTAGCCCCTTTGGGCCTCCTGAAGGATTCTCGGAGGCCTCTTGGTGCCTCTTGGGGATCCCCTAGGGGCCTGGAGGCGGGACACATCTTGGGGTCGGCAATTCGCGCTTCCTCCCTTGAGCCCCTCTTGGGGCCATCTTGGGGGCCTCTTGGGCGCCTCCAGGACCGTCTGGAGGCAATGTGCGGGCGTTGTTGGGCCCTCTTGGACGCATGCCAAAACCATTGAAACGACCCAAGTTCCATTGTGATTTGGGCCTCTTGTGCTGGCCAAGAGCCCATCCAGACTCATTTCCACGAGAGCATCAGGACGGTCTTTTCAAGGGATCCCATAGCAAATGAAGAAAGAACATGCACCCTCGCTCCCAGGAGAAGAGCAAGCATCGGGATAAACATACACTTTCTCGCGGTTCGGTGCTAGACGCCCTCCTAGGTGCGCGGAGCGCGCCAAGGGCGGTGCTGGAGGCGCCGCTGGGGGTCCAGCACCGATCCTGGGCCTTCTCCTGGGCCAGATCCTGGGCGATCGGGGCCGGCCCCATGGGACCAGGTCCAAGAAATCCGCGCGGAGCGCAGGAAATTTCTGCTCGTGCTGCTCTCCCTTCTTCGACCCGAGGCGTCGGCAAAACTCACGCGGGGCCCCCCAGGCTCGTCCGGAAGCGCCCTGGGGGGGCAGGGGGCGCGCGGGGCGCCGGGCGATCCGAGGCCCAGGGTCCCTACGAAGTCAGCGGTATTCCGCGCCTCCTCCTCCTCCTCCTCCTCCTCCTCCTCCTGCTTCTCTTCCTGCTCCTCCTCCTCCTCCTCTTCCTGCTCCTCCTCCTGCTCCTCCTCCTCTTCCTCCTCTTCCTCCTCCTCCACAATCCCCTCCTCCTTCTCCTCCTCCTCGGCGGCGCGCCCAGGGGGAAAGCCAGAGGGGGCGGGCCTTCTCCAGAAGGCACAGAAGGCCTCCAAGCCTTCTGCGAGAGAAGCTTTGACTGAGCCTTCTCTAGAAGGCGCCTTCGAGGAGGAGCAGGCAGCTCGATTCGAGGAGGAGGAGGAAGATGAGGAGGAGGAGTGGGAGGAGAGGGGGAGGAGGAGGAGGAGGAGGAGGAGGAGGAGGAGGAGGAGGAGGAGGAGGAGGAGGAGGAGGAGAAGAAGATTTCTGAGCCTTCTCCAGAAGGCGCAAGCACTTTTGAGAAGGCACGCCGCCTTCCGAGAAGGCCAGCCCCCCTCCTGCCATCCCCTCTCTGGGCGCGCCGCCGATCCCAGGGGCCAGGGGCCACTTCTCTCGATTCGGGGCAGACGTATCAGGAGGGGATAGCAAAAGGGGGGGGCGAATCAATCCATGGAACTGGTTCTCCTGGGGGGGGGGGGGGCGCTCCTGGCGCCTGGGGCCGAAACCGACTGCATGCAACTATTAAATCAGTTGGTCGTGCCTTCCCTTCCCAATCCTCCCCTCGTCAGACCTAGTCAATGCCTCCCGGCTTGGTGGTGGATTTCTGGCTCTTTTCCCAATGCTGGATAGCTAGGCTGCGCACAGTCGGAAAACACTGCACATACTCACGACTCAATTTGCTGCGCGGGGGCGACAATTTGCAAACATAGTCGGCACGCGTGCCATCAATCATGCATGCCTAACTTTACAGGGCAAACGTGGGACGACATATTCAAACATGTGATTCCCGTGTGTGACGGAGCGGCCGTCACATCCGCCTGCTACTTTAACACTCCAGGGCATGCCAGACATCTGCACGCTGGGTACCTATTGGCACTTGGTGTGAGATAGCATGAAATCCGCTACCATACGGAGGCAGCGCTCCAGGGCAATGACTAGCAACAAACAGTCTTACATATCCAGAACCAACACAGCAATTGGTGCCACGCAGCGCAATCCGAAGTGATGCCGCCCCCCCACCCACGGATTCAAAGGCGATTGCCACGTCGTCCGCATTCTCGAAGCCAAGCATGGCACGGCACGCGGGATATCTCGGAGCCGTCTGGAGCAAGAACATCCCTTGCACCCGGGTCTTCCGGGTGGCCCGCGGGCTGGGCCGGAGCCTCAGGGGAGAGTTCTCCTGGAGAAGGAACCATGCCCTTGCTGCGGTCGCGGGGACGAGGCGCCCCTTCTTCCTCCCGCCCTCCCCCCCTCCCTTTCTCCGCATCGCTCTCCTCCTCCCCGCGACCTGCTCCAGCGTATTGGGGCGAGGGCACGTCTCGCGGTCGTTGCGAAGATCACTGTTCAGCTGGTCCAGCTGCTTGGCGATGTCGCCGATGCGACCCTCCAGCTGCCAGACCTGGGCGCTGATCTCCTGCCGCACGCTCGACAAGAGAGTGATTGGGGAACGGAGGCGGACATTTGAGGATACGTGCCACTTAGACATGATTGGGACTTCTCGAACCTCCCAAAGAGAAGGTTGGAGGATGAGGAAGGGGGGGAGGAGAAGCACGGGAATGTAAGGGAGAGGACGGCGCGGGGGAGAAGATGACGACGGGTTGGGGGAAGAGAAGGAGTAAAGACGTTGATGAGGATGATAAGCATGATGATGATAATGATGATGATGATGATGATGATGATGATGATGATGGTGGTGGTGGTGGTGGTGGTGGTGGTGGTGGTACTGGTGGTGATGGTGATGATGATGAGGAGGAGGATGTTGATATTGATGGTGATGGTGATGGTGATGCTGTTGCTGATGGTGATAGTAATATGATGACGATGACGATGACGATGACGATGACGATGACGATGATGATGACGATGATGATGATGATGATGATGATGATGATGATGATGATGATGATGATGATGATGATGATGATGATGATGATGGGGATAAGGACGGTGGTGATGAAGAGGAGGAGGCATGGTGATGCTTATACTGGTGATGGTGATGGTGATGGTGATAGTGATGATGATGATGATGATGTTGTTGTTGATGATGATGATGATGATGATGATGATGATGCTGATGATGGTATGAAATATGATGCTGCAAAACATGATGCGGACAGAGGGGTGAAAGAAACGGAGGCCATGTGGAAAGAAAAGGAACGGACAGTGAAAGGACGGGGGGGCCAGGAGGAAGAGGACGGCGGGGGGAGGGGAGAGCAAAGGAACACGCAGAGAATGACACCGCGCTGGGGTGGAGAGAAACGAGGCAGTGGGACGATGAGGGGCAGGCCATCCCCCTCGCCCACTTCTTCACAGAAGCTGGGCGCGGGAGAGCACCGAGGTGGACGGGAGGGCCCAAGCCCGCAGCGTGAGGCCACCCCGCTGCGCGCGTGGGGGGGCAGGGGGCAGGGGAGTGTCGAGGGCCGAGGATCGAGGGAGGAGGAGGAGGAGGAGGAGGAGGAGGAGGAGGAGGAGGAGGAGGAGGAGGAGAGGAGGAGGAGGAAAGGAGGAGGAGGCGGAGAGGAAGGAGGAGGAGGAGGGGGGAAGGAGGAGGATGAGGAGGAGGAGGAGGAGGAGGAGGAGAGGAGGAGGAGGAGGAGGGAGAGGAGGAGGAGGAGGAGGAGGAGGAGGAGGAGGAGGAGGAGGAGGGAGGAGGAGGAGAGGAGGAGGAGGGAGGAGGAGAGAGGAGGAGGAGGAGGAGGAGGAGGAGGAGGGAGGGAGGAGGAGGAGGAGGAGGAGCAGGAGGAGGTGAGGAGGACTGGGGGGGGGATATCATGCGTGGGCCAAGACTTAGGGGAACAAAAAGTGACATAAACATAAAAACTCGGAGGTCCGCGCGGATTTCTCGGATCGGCGCTGGACCCCCCTCCCCGGCGCGCTCCGCGCGCCGGGGGCGGCGCCGGAGGCGCCGCCGGGGGGCCCCAGCGCCGATCCGAGAAATCCGCGCGGACCTCCGAATTTTTATGTTTATGCCACTTTTTGTTCCTCTAGAACAAGCATGGGGGGAGCAGAAGGGAATGCCTGCGCCTTGGTCGGGCATCGCCTCCTAGAGGCGGAGATGTGGAGGAGAGAAAGAAAAGCCACAATCGTCAACAAATCATAAGACAAGTCGTCCCCAAATTGCTTCTCGAAGTTAGTCCTGAAGATTCCTCCTGTGCGAGGGCATGCCCGACTCAGCTCATGCGGGCTTGCGGCCTGCCCCCCTCAGAGAGTGAGGCGGGCGAGGGCATGGCCTCGCCACGTGGCCCTACAGTCTGAAGCCCCCCTCTCAGAAAGCTGGTGCCGCGTTCGTCCTGAGAGCTACTGTTTGCCTAACGGACGACTGTTCCAATAGACCCCCCACGTTGGTGGTTAAGGCATGTGCATCCACTCGGTATTCTGGAGGTCGTAGCCCCTCCGTGCCAAACACTGCTGTATTACCATGGTTCGGTGGAGGAGAGACGTGTATCGTCATTACATTGTTTGCCATGCCCACCGTGATCATGTATCACGTTGCACATTATGTGAGGTGTGGGGAAATGCAAGCGAATCACTCACTGTGGCAATTCATTGGGTGCTTGCTTCGGAACCCTGGCCGCGAAGATCTAATCTGTCGTTCCGGTGTAACCCGTTTGACTCCATCGGGACCCATGGGACCCCTTTGGACTTCGCAGCACCTCATTGGACTTCGTTGGACTCCATTGACCTCCAATGATCCCCAGTGGACTCCAAACGGCTCCGTGGGACTCCATAGGACTCCAGAGCATCCATTGGAATCCATAGGAAACCCTACCTGCCACCATCGGGGTACCGATATGACTCCATTGGACCCCCTTGGACTCACATTGAATACGCATGGGGCTTCGTTGGCCAATTCGATTCCATACGAATCCGCCGACCCCCCGCATGCCGGCGGAGACAAGGCGTGCGCGATAATTGGCTCTCCCCCTCCCCCTTCCCCCCTCCCACAGGGTCCAAAATCGCGGTTGGGAGGGGGCGGGGTGGGGGGACGAGCTTCTAAACGCAACCAGGGAGGCCTCCGGAGACTGCAAATCTAAAACCCGTGGCCTTCAGAATGCCCAAGATCCCTTCTATGCTTGCTCAAGCTGGGCTCCAGCACGCCGGAGAGGTCTCACAACCAACCTTAGATAGCCTCGAGGCAGGCCAAAAAGTCTCCAAGACGGCGACAAGAGTGCTCCAAGAAAGAAGGACCCCCAAGAGGGTCCCAAAAGGCATCCCTATCTCTTGGGAACGCGTGCGTGTTTATCAGATTCACCTTTCTGGTGATAGCAGCGTCCAAGACGTCTCAATGAGGACGCCAATATCGCTCCACAGCGTCCCAAAAAGCCCCCAAGAGGGCAACAAGACGGCCCAAGAGGGCACCAAGACGGCACAAGAGGCGCCAAAGTCGGCCCATGAGGACCCCAACAAGGCCCCAAGAGGAGCCCAAGATAGGTAACTCGAATTGGCCGTTCGTGCCCCCCGCCTCAAGAGGCCGAGATCGCTATCAGACTCTCGAGAGCGCCCCACCCTACGGGGTCTCAAACAAGATTTTCAGCGTCCCAAAAACGTTACCACGAGGCCAAATCGCCATGACACCCAACAAGATCCGAGAGCCCCAAGAGACACTGGCCAGCCCCAAGAGGGCCGCACTATGGGCCCACGCATTCTGGCCCGAGAGCTCAGGATGGTTTCCGTGATCGTGGCGATCTCTCTCTTCTGGGGGTCGGATGAATCTGCGGTGAGATAAAAGTTATTTAGGTTGACGCCAATGATTGGTCCCCGCCCTCATCCGCACATGACTGGGACTGGAGGCCAAGGGGATGACGAAGCTGGGAACAAACGAAGGTTGTGGGATGTTGGGTGTCATGTATAAGAGGGAGCATGCACCATTGGAACCTGGCTACCGCCCCGCACGGGGCTGAGGCAGCGAAGAGGAGGACGAGTCCCGACCAGCGCAGATCCCATGCGGGACCTGTGGAGGGACTTTCCCCCGCCTCCCCGTTCACCTCGGGAGGCACACGGCTGACCGAGAACACATCGCACCCTGCATGTGATTCAGGGTCCCCCCTCCTTGATGCTGCCACTGTGACGGGGCTGCAGCACGAAGGCGCCGCACCGCCTGCGGCAGCGGCCCCCGAACACGGCCAGCAAGGGCTAAACCAAATTTAGGTTACCTAAACGGTGTTTTTCGTTTTCGTTTTGTTTTTGTTTTCCCTGTCTTTTGTCTCCAATCCGCCTTGGCATGAGACTTCATTAGCCTTCATAGGACTCCTTATCGGATTACGTTGAGCTCCATTGAACTCCACAATGCTCGATCAGAGAAAAAAATCCATTGGACAAGATTGGACTCCATGAGAGTCAATTATAGTAAGACCTTACTGGGCTCTGCTGGACTCCAGTGGGCTCCGTCGGACTTCTTCAAGCTCCATTGAGCATCATTGGATTCCATGCGACTTCAGATAACTCCAGTGGACTCCAACGGAATAATTTGAACTTCAGAGGCATACCCGTTGGTATCTAGAGGACTCCTCACTCCTTTGGTCTCCATTTCGTGGGGATTCATTAGGATCAGTTTAAAAGTCAATTGGGATATCCATCCGAATCCGTGGAATGGTCATGGCATTCCATTGGGATGCAGTGGAATGGCCATGGACTCCCCTTGGAATACCAAGGGGATACATTGGAATATCACTGGGAACCTGTGGCAATACGCAGGGTCAGAAAAAGATGGATCGCGGATCCAATTCCTTTCAATAATTAGTAGTGCAAGTGAAACTCCTAAGGGCAAGCCTCCTTAGGAGAGACGCTTCTCAAATTCGCTCGGCTTGCCAACATGAAACTCCCCCTCTTCTCTGAAACGAGCCCCAAAAAACAAACAACAACAACTACCCAACGCTCTCCATAATCGGGGGGGGGGGATGACGGGGCTCCACTCGCCTCCCCATGGAGCTCGCGATGTAACTTCTCAATCCGCGGCCACAGAGGCCTCGGCCATCTCTCGGGGCAGCGTCGCCCCGGGTACAATGTTGATTGTCCCTGGAACCCCAAACTGGCCACCAAATGCCCAAATCGGAAAAACGACGCCGGGATTCAAACAAAAAGTCCACCCGAAGTCTAGCGAGTGGATCGCCCGACTCCATGCGTCCCAAAGCGGTGCGGTGACAGACCGTATAATGACCTCAACCCCGGAAGACCTCACCGCATGGTCCATCACCCACTGTCTTGGGACATTGGAAGCTTCATTGCCCGAGACGTCGTCGCAGAACGACCCGAGCTCCAAAAGCGTGCGTTCCACACGGATCCGCGCTGACTCAACACGGTGCGGAAAGACGCCATGAACAGAAACTTTCGGAATTCCGTGTGGATTTCCTGGATCGGCGTCAGATCAATCGCCCCTCGCTGGCGCCTGGAGCGCGCCAGGGGCGGCGACGGAGGCGCCGCCAGGGGGGTCCTGCGCCGATCGAAGACATCGGCGCGGGCCCCCGGACCCCCTTTAACTCACCATCCCAACCCAAACATGCGGGGCCCTGAGAAGACCTTACCCTTTCCCCGGGGCCACTTTCTCGTCCAGAATCGGTTTTTAACGGTCACGGGGCCCTGCGAGGGCCTCCCGAGGCCGAACACGGCAAAGGCGCCACGTCGAACCTTTCCAACGACGCGAGCGTGTCTGGGGTCTGGCCGTCGCACTGCTTGAGGGCCCCCGACACTCGCGTCAGCGGGGGCCCTCGATCCTCGCTCCTCCTCCTCCTCCTCCTCGCTCCTCCTCCTCCTCCTCGCTCCTCCTCCTCCTCCTTGCTCCTCCTCCTCCTCCTCCTCCTCAATCCTTGCTCCTGGCTCATGGCTCCTCGCTCCTCGCTCCTCGCTCCTCGCTCCACCTCCTCCTCCTCCTCCTCCTCCTCCTCCTCCTCCGTCCTCGCTCCGCGCTCCTCGCTCCTCGCTCTCCTCCTCCTCCTCCTCTCCTCCTCAATCCTGGCTCCTCGCTCCTCGCTCCTCGCTCATCCTCCTTCTCCTTTTCCTCCTCATCCTCCTCGCTCCGCGCTCCTCGCTTTCGCTTCTCCTCCTTCCCCTCCTCCTCCTTCTCCTCCCGTCCTCCTCCTCCTCCTCCTCCTCCTCCTCCTCCTCCTTCTCCTCCTCCTCCTCCTCCTCCTCCTCCTCCTCCTCCTCCTCCTCCTCCCTCCTCCTCCTCCTCCCTCCTCCCTCCTCCTCCTCCTTCCTCCTCCTCCTCCTCCTCCTCCTCCCTCCTCCTCCTCCTCCTCCTCCTTTCCTCCTCCTCCTCCTCCTCCTCCCCCTCCTCCTCCGCCTCGCTCCTCTCTCCGCGTCCGAGAACGACGACGACCGCGGAGGGGTGGGGGGGTGGGGCGGGCCGCGGCGCGCCGGGGCGGTTGCCCCCCTCCTGCTCCGAGTGCGACGAGGCGGTGGCGCGGCTCCGCGGCATGGACTCGCGGCGCGGGGCGGCCTCCCTCCATTTCCTCCATTTCCTCCATTTCCTCCTCCTCCTCCTCCTCCTCCTCCTCCTCCTCCGCCTTCAACTCCTCCAGCTCATCCTCCTCCTCCTCCTCCTCGTCCTCTAACTCCTCCAGCTCCTCCTCCTCCTCCTTCTCCTCCTTCTCATCCTCCAACTCCTCCAGCTCCCCTCCTCCTCCTTCTCGGCGTCGTCTAGTCGTCGTCGTCGTCGTCGTCGTCGTCGTCGTCGTCGTCGTCGTCGTCGTCGTCGTCGTCGTCGTCGTCGTCGTCGTCGTGGTCGTCGTCGTCGTCTAGTCGTCGGCGTCGTCGGCGTCGTCGGCGTCGTCGTCGTGGTCGTCGTGGTTGTCGTCGTTGTCATCGTCGTCGTCGCATCCGTCCTAAAAATCAGCGTGTTGGAGCCTCTGTGGGCGCGCTCGGGGCCTGTCAAGGGCCTCCATGGCGCTCTGGTGGGGCCCCCCTGGAGGGGCGCAACAGGCGCGAAACCATGTAAATAGTGCGGTGGTCCGATGCCCTCCTCGCTCAGGCGGGGCATCCCTGGAGGGTTGGGAAGGGCACGCAACCGTGTGAATAGTTTGGTCCTCCGATACCCTCCTCGCTCTGGCGGGCCTCCCTTGAGGGGCGGGATGGGCACGTAACCTTGTAAATAATATGGTTCTCCGATACCCTCCTCGCTCAAGCGGAGCCTCCCTGGAGGGGTGGGTGGGAGGGGCACGACACCGTGTAAATATTTGGTTCTCCAATACCCTCCTCGCCCTGGCGGGGCCTCCTTAGAGGGGTGGTATTGGTAGCGGTAAGTGTTGTAATGGTTGCTGTAGGAATGGTCGTGTGGCAATGTGGTAGTGGTAGTATAGCAGCAGCAACAGCGGCGGAGGAGGAGGGAGGAGGGATAAAGAGAGGGAGTTATTGGAAAACAAATCCCCACTCAAAATATGGGGAAACACCGAACGCGTTGTTCTGTGCTATTGGCGCCTTCTGAACCTCCAGAGGCCTCTCCGGGTCAGGGCACCTCTGAATACACTCTCCTCCCTCGTCCCCCCTCCTCCTCCATTCTTCCTCCTCCCTCTTGCCTCCTCCCTCCATTACATGTTCATTTGAAGAACCCCTCCTTGCCGCACCCGGAGGCTGGTCGAAAGGGCGGAACGGGCGTTGCGCCTGAGACTTCATTACCATGTATGACCCTGAAGCGAACATTGGCAATAATTTCGCAAATAGAGGGCGGACCGCTTCCAAAAAATTGTGTTCGCCTAACCGCCGAACACATTCGTATACATAATGTGCAAGGGCTTCACGGATTGAAGACGGGTGGCTTTCACAACGTGGCCCTCGCCTGAGTGCCGCGCACATTCGTTCAAACTAATTGCACACTTTTCACATATTGAAGGCGGGTGGGTTGCACAATGTGGCTCTCGCCTTCGCGCCGCACGCATCAGTTCTAAACAATTGC